ATTTATAATTTCTGGCATACTGTTCAACCTTTTCCTTTGTAAATTTATAATTTTATTTTTCTACTTCATAAGGTATGTATCAACTTCATATCTTCTTCCCCTTTTTTCAAATTTTACAACCATACAACATATATAATTTTCTTTCAATTCATTTATTAATTTATACTTTTATTCATATACACCTCTTTCATTCCAAGTGTCAACCTTCAATAAAAAGTGTACACTACTATTACTGTTAATCTTCTCATCACTCCTTATCACCCATCCCCTCCCACTTGTGATTGTAGGACTGTAACTTTGTTGCTTGTATCCTTACGATTTATATTGACTGTTTCCTAGGATGATTTGATTGTTGATTGTACCCTATGACTATCATTAAGTGTTGTACATTATAATTCTTGATTCTGAACGAATGTACCTTTTCTTTATGTATACTGAGAGTATTTACACCAAGACAAATTCCTTGTGTCCAATCACACTTGGCCAATAAAGCATTCTATTCTATTCTATATGTTGACTCAATGAAGATATATTTGGAAATATGATGAGATTTATTAGATAAATTTAAGATATGTTTACTACTTATGATGAGAAGGGATCTTTATTATATTATTTAAGTTTGTACATTAATTACAAAAGCAATATAAAATCGTTCCTGTTTGTACAAGTATAAGAATTTGTCCTTCACAATCCGTACATTGCAAGTTGAACTGGATAAACTATTGGAAGGAGGAATGTGGAATTGTCAGGCTTTGTGAATGCTTAGTACCAGTATTTGCTGAAACATGCCTATTGGCCTAACGATGTTGTGTCAAGGCACAGGAAGCAGAAAATAATATTAATTTCATTTCAAATAAATGAAACTCCATTACATAAAAAGTTGTTTCCTCCTACAAGGGCTATCACATATGTTTGCTTTATTTTCAAGACAGTGTCAGTAAGATTATTATTCTTGATTTTAAAACTATTCACAAACTATGTGCAATAAACCATGTGAAATAAAATGAAATAGTCCATTCAAAAATTTCAATAATTAGAATATAATTCTTTTGTTAAAAGTTGCGCAAGTATTAACTTTCTACTGAGGCAAAATATGCAAGTACTATGTCATCAATAATCAAATCATCCATTTATAAAGTCCTTTTTTACAAACATATTTCTACAATTCTTTTATAATAGCCCTACAGTCTATCCTTTTGAAGTATATCTTCTTCAACAGCTGTAGTTTTACTATAATTTGGTTTTTTAATTTGCTGTTTAAATATAGATATTTTATAGATATTTTAATAGGTATGATTGAGCAGGATATGAAGTGCTAAAATTGTCCCCAACTAAATAATGACAATGATATTAATAATCATTTTTGTACCTATCTTCTTGCCAAAGTACCTTAGAAAAAGATTACAAAGAATAAAAATAGTCTTCAATTAAAAATTAAATAAAGCCAACAGTCCTACAACAAACTGTAACAATGCAAGATTTAAGTCAAAGTTCATTTAAAATGAAAACTACTAGGAAAAAACTATTTATATTACTAAGAAAATAAAGCGTAGTCAGAAAAAAAAGGATGAGGTATGAAGAGAGGAAAAGGAGAATTTATCAATGGCCGCTTCAAGTGAGGATTCATGATGAATTAGATATCCTTGAAGTATCAGGGTGGCACTGCAACAGAAATTGGTTGCTAAATCGTGAATTCTGGCTGGTACAGTCTTTCTGGAATACTTTTATTCCTACATAAAAGTAATTAAAATGCCAAACCATACATATGGTACAACTTTGATCAACAGAAATATCTCTTCTTGAACACAAATATGCAAATGGCAGTATGCGATTTCTTAGGCAGGAAAACAAAAGATGATACACACTTTTCAAAAATGAAGTGCACGAACAATATTTTATAGAACTTTGCTCATTAATGAATGGGCAATCAATGGATTGTAGAAATGATTATTTTCCAGTACTTCTAAGTTTGAGGCGGCCTTTGCTGATGAGAACAGAGGCCCGAGGGGCACACACAGCCATTCCAGGCTCTGTTTTCATCAGCAAATGCTTTTTGCAAAAATAACTGGAGCCTATAGGAACACTATCTCTCATCCCTGTAGGCCTTGGCAAGCCTTTGCTCCAGGCGAATCAGCACATTGTGGTGTGGGACAGCGGAGTTAGCTGTCACCAATTAGGAGCGGGATGCTGGCTACCTGTGCGGCAGGGCTGCCGGATGTGGGGAGGCGATTACCGGGTGGGATAAATAGAATGCTGGGATCGATAAACACTCAGCACTAACTTTACTTACATATGCTCGCTGCTTCTTGCTACTGCTACAGCTGTGATGGAATAAACCACTGTTATTCCTTTGGATTCTGTGATTATTGCCTCATCTGCATGGCTGGCCATAGAGTGGCTGAGACCCTGGTAATGCGAGAGGGGGAGATATGAAATGACAGAGGACCAGAGTGGAGGGGCTCTGCTTTTCTTCCATTTGAGGGGGAACCAGTTCCTCCCCGTCCAGACCTTCCCAGCCTCCAGGCACCATGTGGCTTCTTTTGAATCCCAGCAGTAAGGATGAGAGAGGTCCCTCCTTTCGCTTCGCTCTGCCCCAGTTATGATTAAGCGTTTACAATTTTGTTATAATTAAATAAGCACAATATATATGTGTGTGTGTGTGTGTGTGTGTGTAGGTCTAGGTGTGTTCGGGTCTTTTCCCGTGTAAGATTAAGAGTATCTTGGTGACGTTTCAGCGAGGTCCCACTCGCCATCTTCAGGCTGGTGCTTTCGGCTTCATGCCAGCGCAAGCAGTGTGTGATCGGAGCTGCCATCTCTCTATAAATACTGGTGGTGGGGGCTGGTGTGCTGGGCTGGTTGGCTGCGCTCCTGCCTCTTGATTGGTTGATGGAGTTGATGTTGGTATAATGGGCTGTGTGATGGCCTTGTGAGTTTTGTTGTGGAGATATCCTGGATCTTGTGCTGTAATCTCCTGGGTCATTTGTTTTGTAGTGATCTTTTTTCCATTAGCGTCTCGTGTTTTAACGGCTTGGGTAATGGGTTGTGTGATGGGCTTGCGAGTTCTTTTGTTGTGGTATCCTGGGTCCTGCGTTGTAATCTCCTGGGTCATTTGTGTTTTGATCTCTTTTCCATTAGCCTCCTGTGTAGTAACGGCTTGGGTAATGGGTTGTGTGATGACCTTGTGAGACTTATTGCTGTGGTATCCTTGGTCTTGTGTTGTGATATCCTGGGTCATTTGCTGTGTTGGAACTTCTTGAGTTCCTGTGGTGTAATTTCCTGAGTTTTCTGATGTGATATCCTGAGCGGGTGGCTGTGATGTAGCATTCTGGGTTTTAGTCTGGCTTCGAGTTTGGGGTCTGGGTCTGTGTTCTTGGCATGTCAGCTTGTTTGGTTTTGGGGTCAGGGGGGTGCGACAGCTGGCGAAGCAGCCATGGTCTGTTTTCTGGATGGTGGTTGTCCTTCCAGCCCCCACCACCAGTATTTATAGAGAGACAGCAGCTCCGATCACACACTGCTTGCACTGGCATGAAGCCGAAAGCACCAGCTTGAGGATGGTGAGTGGGACCTTGCCAAAACGTCGCCAAGATACTCTTAATCTTACATGGGAAAAGACCCGAACACACCTAGACCTACATACCTGTACCCG